CGGGGGGGAATTGTCACCCCTTCACTGTCATCCTCAGAGAAAGCTTTGCTCACTGAGGGTGAGCACCCACTCGTGGACCTACCAGAGCTGGAAGTGGGCAGCTTGTTTGCATTTCAGAGTACAGATGGCAGAGAATGTGCCAGAGGATGGGCATGATGCAACTGACTGTGGGCACACATGGCAGGCAACAGCATATTGAATTCCCACGTGGACCCTGTGGAATCATCAGGATACACTGGAATGCTCACAGTCCAGGCTGAGCCCACAGAGCACAGCCCACTGCAGCAGTGGGATACTGTGACTGTATCCCACCCCACAGCTCTGCCCTGGCACACACCATTCCACTGGCCAGCCTTCTCTGGGCACCTGTCACCTGCCCAGAGGTCCCTCTGCAAGGCAGGTCCCTGGTCAGGGAGCCCTGGTCGACAGGAGCTTTGTGCTGCAGAAGGAGTTATGACAATGGCAGCTGTGCCAGACCAGTCCCAGCACAACCATCCCGTGGCACAGGACCTAGGTGCCCACAGCAGTGATCCCACCTGCTGGGATACTGTTGGGAACCATCAGCCATAGTGTCCTGGGGGCCATGGGTCCAGGGTCTGCCTGGGTGCTTACCAGTCCCAGAGGCTGGCATGCCTGGGGAGCAAGATCCTAGCACTAGCAAGGGGATGTGCCTGAAAATGAGGGGTCCAAGATAGCGGGAATGGCACTGGTGACACATTAACTGGACAGAGGAGGCAACCAGGGGTAGAGTCCAGATTGGCGGGGGGAGCACTGGGCTGTGGGTCAGGGTCCATGGGACACTGGACACTGCTGGCACGGCATGCAGTGTGCTGCAGTGTTGGTTGCTGCTCAGGCAGCCTCCACTGCTCCTCTCCTCCAAGCTCAGCTCCTGGGGACAGTACGGCGTGCCATGGCCACCAGCCTGCTCCGCATCCCCCCACCCCAGGCACTGCTCCGGCCCCTGGTTGTGCCAGAGAGGCTGCTGCTCGGGCCAGGGCCCAGCAACGTGCCCCACCGCATCCAGGCTGCAGGTGGACGACAGATCCTGGGCCACATGCACCCCGAAATGCTGCAGGTGAGCTGCCCCAGCCCAGTCTTCTTCCCCTCCCCTCCCGTCCTCTCTCTCCCCTCTAAGAGGGGTTGAAATGGCAAGAAGAGCAATAGCAGTGCTGGTCAGTGCCCTGCCACCGCAGGTGATGGATGAGATCAAGGCAGGCATCCAGTACGCCTTCCAGACGCAGAACCAGCTGACCCTGGCCATCAGCGGCAGTGGCCACTGTGCCATGGAGGCCGCCCTCTTCAACCTGCTAGAGTGTGGTGACACCATACTGGTGGCCATCAACGGCATCTGGGGACAACGTGCTGCTGACATTGCCAGGAGGCTGGGTATGCTGGGGACAGCCAGATGGCATGGAAGGGCTGAGGGGACCGGGTTTGCAAGCAGGATGCCAAAATGTGAGCCCTGGCTTGCTGTTCCAATCCTGGTGGGAGTGACCAGTGACATGGCTTTCACAGTCAGAGAGCAGTCCAGGTTGTTTCCAGGTGTTCCCTCCGTTTAGAGTGGTTTATGGCTTTTCCACTGGGAAGGATGCCAGACCCTGGCAAGCGGCTGTGCTCTTGGTTCACGTGTGACAGATTCCCCTGTGGAGCAGGTGACTGCCCAGTGGGAAGTATACCCAAGCCTCACTCTTCTCTGCTCAAATTCCTCCCAGGAGCCAATGTCTATGAGCTGCTGAAACCCCCGGGCGAGTATTTCACTCCACGGGACATTGAGGAGGTGAGTGCTGGCCACATGCAATGCAGTGGGCGTGAGCTGACCTCCAGTGTGGTCACCTTCCCTCTGCGTCATGCAGGGCCTGGTGCAGCACAAGCCCTCAGTGCTCTTCATCACCCACGGCGAGTCCTCCACCGGCGTGCTGCAGCCACTGGAGGGGCTGGGCGAGCTGTGCCACCGGTCAGTGCACGATGGACACCCGTGATCACCCAAGGTCACCACTGGGGGTTGGGCCTGGAGATTTACACGACCTGGGCTCTTCCCTGACTCTGTGGGTCTGGAAGGTGTTGGTGCCAGTGAGACACGTGGCCCCTGGGGGGATGAGGGTGCTAGGGCTGCAGGCAGAAGGGTGGTAAGAGGAGGAGGCAGGGACATCAGGCTGAGCTCTGTCCTCTCACAGTCATGGCTGCCTGCTGCTTGTGGACGCGGTGGCATCACTTGGGGGAGCCCCCATCTTCATGGATCGGCAGGGTAAGAGCCACAGTACCCTCATGGGCACCTCACGGGACAAAGGGGTTCATGCCTGGGCCAGGGAGAGTGGGCAGCGGGACCAGCCCTTCTGCCCATATTTTGGGCTAGCAGCACTAGAAACTGGTCCAGCTGCAGCCAAGAGAGGCTGTTCCCCTCAAGCGACCATCAGCAGTGCCAGGGGGTCCCCCAAAGCAGCCCAAACACAAGCAGGATCCATAGCATGTGCCACCCTTGTGCTTCCCACCCACCACTCAGAGCTGGGCAGGGGGTACTCAGCATTTTCCCACTGGGAGCATCTGAACCCTAAGGAGTTGCCTTCCTTTTTGGGTAGAGATCGATGTCCTATACTCGGGGTCCCAGAAAGTCCTCAACAGCCCGCCTGGCAGTGCCCCCATCTCATTCAGTGAGCGAGCCAGGTAAGAGTAGCCCAGTCCCACTGGGGTGGAAGGCAATGGGGGTGGGGGAGGCAGTCACCTCCCTCCTTTGCCAGCCATTTGCTCCAGTCCCGCTCTGTGGAGAGCGTGCCCAGCATGTGAAGAGCATGCAGCAGCAGTGCTGTGGGGGCAGAGTCCAGCCCATCCCTGGGCAGAGTCCAGCCCATCCCTGGGCATCGACTGGGTGCTGGAGCCAATCTCTGCACTTGCTTTAGGGGGCACAGGACTGATCCCACCTTGGAGCTGGTAGGGTGAAGGTCCAGCCTCTCCCCAGCATTATGCTTCACCAGGGAGAAGGTGCTGAGAAGGAAGACGAAGCCCCGGTCCTTCTACCTGGATATAGGCTGGCTGGGAAACTACTGGGGCTGCGACGGGGAGCCACGGAGGTGAGGGCAGGCTCCCTGGTCACAGATGGCTGCAGCTGTCCCCCAGCCAGCCTTCACCCTGGCTCAGGGGCTGCCTGCTCTTCAGGGCTCAGACCCTGCCTGTCCATCACCCTGTCTGCTGGTCACAACCCTCTGCACTAAATGATGGAGAGGGAGAATGCTGCGCGTCTGTGTCCCATACTGCAAGCAAATGGCTGCTCTGCTGCAGCCAGGCTGAACCCCTCTGAGTGCTCCTTGAATTTTGCAGGTACCACCACACGGCACCCATCAACAGCTTCTTCAGCCTGCGGGAAGGCTTGGCCATGCTGGCAGAGATAGTGAGTGACACCTGGCGGGCAGGGGGACACCAGCAGCGCCGGGTGAGCGCCAGGAGATGCCTGTCAGCGGCAGAGACCTTCTCTCACCTCTCTGCCTGCAGGGTCTGGAGAGCTCCTGGGAGCGACACCGGGCCAACTGCACCAAGCTGTGCCAGGGGCTGCTCAGCCTGGGGCTTGAGCTCTTTGTGAAGGAGGAGGTGGGTTCAGGGCAAGCCCACCACCACGGGGTAGGGGCAGCGTGAGGACACAGCCCAGCGCAGCTCAAGATATGCTTGGACAGCTTTTGATACTGGAGAAAAACCAACCCCATTATCAATGCTCTCTCCCGGCAGTCTGCTGGGCTCACCAGGGGGTGGGGCCATAGGATTGAACCCAGTTTCTCTGTTCCCCAGAAGGCGAGACTTCCCACCGTCACCACTGTCAGAGTGCCCGAGGGCTACAACTGGAAGGACATCACAGCCTTTCTGATGGACAACCACGCCATGGAGATCACTGGAGGCCTGGGCCCCACGGTAGACAAGGTGGGCAAAATCCTCCCCTCCTGCTGCCCATGGCTGGGCACCAAACCCCATGATTCGCTGGATTCACTGCGGCTCTCTGGCCATCGACAGTGTGTGGCTGGCTTTGTCCCATGTCCCATCGCCCGCAGCAATGCATAGCAGCATAACCACACACAATCACCCGCCTAATTGAATAACCACGCACACAATTAGCGGGGTGACACATCTTTAGAGGAACCGGGTGTTAAGTACAGCAAGAGCAAGCAGGGAGCTGTGCACACCCGCTCATGCCTGGCTGTGTGTTCCCCGCCTCCGCACGGGACCCTGCGACCTGCCACCGGCCGCAGGGAGACGGTGCCGAGACACGGAGGCAGAGGTGGGTGCTGCAGGGAGACGCTCGCCCTTCTCCTCCCAGGTCCTGCGCATCGGCCTCTTGGGCTGCAACTCAACCGGTGAAAACGTGAACCGAGTGCTTCGAGCCCTGCGAGACGCCCTCGGCAGCTGCCGCCGCAGCAGGCTGTGAGCTCACCTGCCCGGGGGGCCTGGGAGAAGCGGTGCAGCAATTCCCTCCGGTGCAGCAATTCCCTCCGTGCCTGGCTGCAGGCAACTGGCAGCAGAGGGACTCCACTGCCTCCCTGGGATGCTGGCGGGAGACACGGCAACACCCAGCAAGCCAAGCAGGAGTGGGAAAGGAGAAGTTGGAATAGCAGGGGACACGGAGGAGAGAGCTGCACTCGACAGACATGACACGTCTCAAAACCCCTTCTCCCATCATCCCAGTGGCCTGGTCCCCCAGCTCTTCCCCTTCACCAGGGCATGGCAGCCCCTCGGCAAGCTGACACGAGGGCTGGATGCAGGATCTGACCATAGGTCCTTTCCCCTCCCACCACCACCAACCTCAGCTGACCCTGCACCAGAGCTCTGCAGTGCAGGATCCCAGCCATTCCCCCCCAGATTCTGTACCCTGGGATGAAACACCCGGTGCCCAGCTCTACAAGGGCAGCCAAGAGGCTGTGCAACCCCCCAGCCACAGCAGAAATAAGCTCTCTCCCTGGAACAACCTTTCCTCAATAAAGCGACGTGGCAGTGTGCTGCTCCCAGGCCCCTGGCTCTCCTTGCACCCCCCCAGAGTTTTGAGACACCCCAACGGGGCAGCAGTGGGGTTCCACTCAGCTCTGCTGCGGAATTTCTTGCCGGATCTTGGAGAGGAGCTGGGACATTGCTGAGCGGCGTGCACTGTCCTGGATCCGGTACACCTGAAACTAAGTGGAAGCAGGTAGAAAGTGAGAGGAGAGGCTGCCAGGGGGCAGAGGGCTCCGGGGGGGCCAATTCCAGCACATCCCCAGCTGCCCAGCTCAGATGGTTTCTGGGGATGCCTTGCGAGACCAGCTGGAGGTCTGGGGTTACCTGGTTGAGCAGGATGTCAAAGTAGGCTGTGTCCCAGTAAGACCCATCCTCGCTGGGGAGCTGCAGGAGAGCTCGGGTGTTGGGGTTTGCCTTCCGGCTGTCAGTGCGTGCAGGGTGGCCAAAATGGAAATGGAGGAAGCGTCGGGGGTCCCGGGCAAAGCTCTCTACTTTATGGTAGAGGGAGGCAAGGTCCATGGCTGCTCCTTGGAAGAGGTTCTCCTCTGGGTTCAGAAAATGGGGCAGGTGCCGGATGGCCAGGCAGCGGAGAAGGATCACCAAGAGCCTGTAGACAGAGCCCTCCAGGTCCTGCCAGTCCTCCAGGGAGGGAAAGAGCTCTGTGCTCCACAGCAGCACCATCTGTGGGGAGGGAGAGAAGAACACAGGAACAGGCACAAGGCCTGATCCCACAAAGGCCAAACCTTCACGCCCTGCACGTCACCACGCAATGACCTGTGGGGCTGAATCCATGTTGGCTGGAGCAAAAGATGCTTTTCTGAAGGTCAGATGCATACTGTGCCCTCTTTCTTTAAAAAAACTGAAACAGACAACCAACCAACCAAAAAAAAAAATAGCCAACACATCAAAGAATGCAACATAAAGCAAAACACACAGGATTTGGGTTACTTGGAGCTGGAGCCATTCTCTCAGCAGAAAACACTTCTCTACCCAGGGCCCAGAGAGCTGTCACAAGGAAAAGGACACACCCAGATTGTGCCACCAGGTGCTGTCCCCAGCATGGCCCCGTTCCTGACCAGTATCACCAGTCCGTATAGGTCCAGAGTGCTGAAAACAGGTTGGGCGGGGAGAGGTTTTTTGTCAGCAGAAATGCCAGCCTTGGCCCTGTACGGTCACCTCCCACCACACCAGGGTATGGGACAATTTGCAGCATGGCAGCACAGTGATGCCATCCCCAGCAGACACAGGCAGCCTGTGCCAGAGGACACCTAGTGTGTTGACATAGAGCCCCAGCTCTGAATGCATTGAGTGTCTCAGGCTGGAGGTTGCTGGTTCAATCCAAGGAAGAAGGACCAAAGCCATGGCCAGCAGCAGCATGCATCTTTTGCAAACACAGCCATGGGCTGGTACATCCCAAAGCACTGCAGGCGCTCGCCCTTGTCAGTTGGAATCTTCTGCAGGGGAGCAGCCTTGACTCTCTTGCCCAGAGAGCCACAGTCCCAACCAGCAGAACCTCCCTACCTTCAGGTAGTTGAAAGTGAGACCACTCTTCCCACCCTCCTCTCCCCAGTCCTGGTCGCGGAGCTGGTCGAGCAGGCGAAGGCTGTCCAGACGGGGTCCCTTCAGTGTGTCCACTGCGTGGAGCAGCCTCAGGATGGGGAGGTGAGTGGAGGATCTGGAGGGAGAAAGTGGAGTCTGGTGAGAGAGAGGATAGAGATGTGCACCCTCCCAGGGTGGGGAGAGTGTACCTGCAGTGACCTGGTGTGGGGGGGGACTCTCTCAGCCACATGCATGGTCCCAGGCATGCAGCATCTTGGATCCACCTCCTGCACTCACCTCTGGCAAAGCAGAACTTGGGAGGTTTGGAGTGAGATGGGAATGCTGCTGAGCAGCTTCTTCCCGGGAGGAACAAGAGTGGAGCGAAGTAGGGTTGTGCTCCCCTACATGCAGTGGAGAGGGCTGCAGGCTGCCTCAGAGGGGAGGCTGCTTTGGTCCCCAAGGAGGGGCCAAATGTCCAGCTGGACCACACTGTGCCCAAAATAAGCCTGGACCGGTCCAGCCAGCCACTCAACCCCTCCATGGGGCTGGGTAGCTGTGGTGGCAGGGGAGATACATGTCACTCCAGCCCCGTTCTCTCCTGCAGCCTGCCCTGGGAGGCACCTTATCACCCTGCTGCTGCCAGATGCCTAGGCTTGTTTCTGAAGCCCAAGCAGGGATCTGAGAGCTGCCACCCTCCACATGGTCAGGGTTCAGCTCCTGCAAAGAATTTCAGGGGGCTCCTTCAGTTGCATTCGCCCTCTTTCCTTGAGCTGCCTGAAATTTGGCTGAGGCTTTTTGCCAACACCAGGAAGTGGGTTTGGGCATCATGAGGAGGTGACTTCAACCTCTGCTGACATGTCCCCACCCTTTCCTATCCTCTTTTTGCCTACACCCAGCAGCATTGCCAGCCAGGGGGGATCGTTGGTGCAGGACCACACCACCATGCATGCAGCCAAGCCACTCACCTCCAGCAATGGGGAGAGGCAGGGACAAAGTGGGCCTCTTCTGTGGCCCTCTGGAGGCTGCCTTCAGGGAAACCCCTGTCAATCTGCCTCCCCTGGAGCTGGAACGGCTCCTGCTGCCTCCTCACCACCGGAACAATGTCAAAGCGAATGTTCTTCCAGCCACCACGGATCAGCAGGGAGAGCTCCATGGCATCTTCCCGCAGATTTTCGGCGCTGACGTCACCTAGATATGGAGGGTTTGGCAGCAGTGAGGAGGTTAACGCAGCCGGTCCCGCAGGCTGAACCAGGTATGCGCTGCAACGCCTGTGACCGTGTCCCACCCCACTCGACTCCTCCCTTTCCAGTGCTGCAGTTTGTCCACGATTTCCCAGCTAAAACCCCTCTCCCAGCCATGCTGGGGTGGTTCATGGGAAGGAGCATTGCTCCAGCAGGGCTTAAGGTCAGGCACAGCAGGAAGTCTCGAGCAGCCAATTCAGGCTATGCTTCTGGGTGGCTGAACAGTGCCAAGCAAAACAATGTGGTCCAAGAAAAATGGACCAGAAAAGGTCTCAGGCTGTGGGAGTAGAGGAAGATGAAGGTCTCTGTCTTGGCTGTGGAGGAAGGAGGGAATGGTGGGCTTGCTGGGGCTGGGTTAAGAGACCTCCAGACCCACTGGTCCTCTTGCATCACCTTCTCATCAGGACTGAGCTTTACTTCAAGAAGCACCTTTGGAGCATGAAGAAGCTGACAAAACCATTATGGGCATTCCCAGGGTCCCTTCCCACCATGTCTTTCCTGAGGATGCTGATGCCAGCTGAGACCCATGTGTTCACAGGGTCAGACCCATGCCTCAAGGTCTTGGTTCAGCTCTGATGCACTCCCAGCTCACCCTCCAAACAGCCTCCTCCAGGGAGCAGGGGGCACTCGGAGGCCAGGAGGTGGGAGGAGAACATGATTAGGAAGAGCCAAGCAGGGCTGGGAGAACCCTTCACCCACCAAGGAGGGTGCCATCAGCCCCAGGTGGAGATGCCTGGGGATGACTCTGCTGCCATGGGATGGCAGGGAGTAGTTTGCATCTCCTCTTCCTTAGCTGAGGGCAAAGGCTATCCCAGCACACAGCAGGGTGGTCACTCACCTGCTCATGCAGGCTTTCAGTGGGTCACGCACCCAGGGATCTATGTCCCAGCGTGTTTGCAAAGGGACCACCGCCAAGCTGGGCTTGCCAGCTGTGCTGGAGGCAGCTCCCGGCTGGGAAATGCCCCGCCAGCATACGCACCTGGCTGAAGCAGGAAGCAGCGCTGGCAGTGCACGATGGCTGAAACAAGGAGCTCTTTCAGGTGCTGGAGGACTTTGCCCGGAACCAGACACTTCGCACCACCTCCGTGCTCCATCGCACCCACGACACTGATCCAGTCCTCCAAATCGGTCCCCGGAGAGGGCACTTCCAGATAGCAGGTGCTCAGCCCTGGAGGGTGCCCTCCTGGGGTGTCTCTGGGCTGGCATGCCAAGAGCTGCAGGGTATCACGGTCAATCCGCAGGGGCATCTCTACAGTGACAGCATCCTCAGAGGCAGAGAGAGCGAACTCGAGGGCTTCCAGGTTCCTGGCATAGTCCACAAGGAAGCGGGGCTCCCTGGCATGGACACCCTCCAGCAGGGTCAGCAGGATGTCCTCAGCCCGCTGGAAATTCTCCAGCCGCTCCCTCTCGCGGGACACGATCACCCCGAGGTAGCTGTGCCAGAGGGAAGTGTTGGCTTCCATGGCAGCTCTGCTGCCGTTGTGAGCCTGCTCCGAGCAGGAGTAAAAATACGTGGGCAGGGAGGGCAGAGCTGTGTGCCCTCGTGGGGAGGGTGGAGGGAAGCCACAGCTGGGCGTTGACAAGCACCAGTGCTGGGTGACTCCCAGGGAGAGGTACTGGGAGCAGCATGTCCCACCGGGGCAGACCCAGGGTGGGGGATTGAGTCACACCGTGGCCCTCCTCTGGCACTCCAGAAGGGTGACAGCGAGTGCTCAGCTGATGGGTCATGCCAGGATAAGGCTGTGGTCTCCCACACTTCTCTTGGCACAGGGGCTGCGTGCCAGCAGCATCCCCTCACAGCCAGTGCCAGGTGAAGGCGACCCACTGCCCTCACGCCCTGGCTCAGCCTAGTTTAGCCTGCTGCCTGGGGCTGCCAGCGCCCGGCTGCTCCCAGCCTGTATGGCGCCCACGGAGCTGGGCACAGCGCTGCGGTTCTGCGGGAGGGCTGCGGAACCCTGTGCCCGCCTTGCCGGTGCTCAGAGCAGCCCTGCAGGCCCAGTGCATCGCTGTCAACATCAGGCTTCAGCTCAGCTTCCATCAGGCTCCAGCTTTCGAGGTGCGGGCACCCCCCCAGCGCCTCTCGCCCGGGCTGAGCCCCCGGCCCCGCCCCGCAGGTAGAGCCCGGCCCGCCCCGCAGGCCCGCCCTGCCCGGGGCGCGGGTTCCTGCCGCCGGGCTGCGGGGCAATCGCCCCGGAGAGAGGAGGGAAGCGTTGCTTTGGACCCCAGATCCGCCGTGCGGTGCGGTGCGGTGCGGGAGCGGCGGGGGCAGCCCGTGCGGTCCCGCAGCCTGGCCGGTCCGGGGCTCCGTCCGTTCCGCCACGCCGAGCTGCCCGGCGGGCTCGGCCCCGCTGCAGGGACAGGGCAGGGACAGCGCAGGGACTGCCCGTACCCTCCCACCTGCCCCCGCTCCTCTCCATCTCCCACGGATCCCGGAGCGGGGATTTCCGGGCACGTTGGCTGGCTGAATGGCGCGCCCTTCCCGGGACACGTTTCCGGGCTTCTCGGGCCGGGAGCAGGAGCTTGTAATGATTATGACTGGAAGGCTCGGCTCTCCCAGCAGGACAGCGTGGTTCAGCCGTTCCAGGGTTCCCTGCAAACTGATCCTGCCCTTGGTCAGAGTAGGGAAGGGAGTGGGGGAGGCAGCAGGGGCCCCTGTGGCAAGGGAGCCCGAGCCGAGCATGGGAACCGCTTCGGGGAGGGAGCATGCCATGGGGCTCGTGGCTGGGCCTCCCACCTCCTGCAGCTCAGGCTTTCGTTTTAAACAGCCCAGATGAGGTTTCTGGATCTCCCCAGGCTTTTTTCCAGTTTTCCTTGTGCCTCCTTCAGTCCCCTGTGACTGAGGAGCAGACCTGAAGGTAGGGGTCTGTCCCTCAAGGCCATCTGTCCTTCCACCAGCTGACTGAAGGAGCTCTGTCTGCGTCCCTGGAGAGCACAAGGCTCAGAGCTCTCACCTGCAGAGCATCTCTGAGCACCTGCAGTTCGAGCCATGGAGATGAACAGTAGCCAGCACTGGGCTTCTCAGTACTGGAAGGCTGGGGGTGCTCAGGGCTGGGAAGCCTCAGCCAGATTTTAAAAGCCTGACAATGGATGACAGGCTCTGAGTCTCCTTACCTGAGCCCTGCACTCCAGGTTTCACCTGACCTGAGCAGGGGATACTCAGTCCCTCACACTAATGATTGTCCCAGCCAGGTCTGAGTGTGCAGCTTGGTCTTTACCTTCTTCCGTCATGTGGGAAAGACAAGCTGGCTGGCGTCCCAGAGAGGGAACAAAAGTGACAGACTCCCTGCTGCCAAAGTGGGGCTCCTGTGGGCTTCACCCTCCCCATCAGAGTGGTCTGGGCTTATCCTGAAGGATGCTGAACCCGAGCCAGGCAAGAAAGATGACTGCTCCATGCACTGATATGGGAAAAAAGAAGGCAGAGAGATGCAGGCCACCACTTTTCTGTGGGTGGTGGGTGACAGTTCACTGCTGGCAGGGTTGCCCTAGGAGCATCATTTTGTCATGGGTGGAGTCCCTGCTATGGCAGCAGCCAGGACATTCCTTCTGTCAGTGCCTGGCTGGGATGCTGGAGGAGGCCATGGGGAACATGCAGAAGCTGGAGTGAGAGCAGCCGTGGCACTATAGGAAGATAAGGCTGGTCAGGGCAGGGAGACATGTATGTCCCCCCAGATGTCTTGGTGCTAGTAGGGTAACCATGCCCTCTTGGCAACGGTGCTGGCTGACCCCACAGTGTGACCCTGTTCCCATCACTGCTAGAGTTCTGATGCCCTGAGGAGTGAGTGTGTTGTAATCTTCTCGGCTCATCACTGCCTTTGGCACTTGCACTTTTTGGACCTCTACGTGCCACAATCAAGAGGTTGGTGCTGCAAAATGCTGCCTTCTGCCCCTTCCTGCAGGCCAGCACTTTTCCCCTTTGTCCTTTCCCCTATCCCCCCTTCCTCCTTTCCTCTCCACCTTTTCTTTCCTCCTTCTTCCTTCCTCTTTTTCCCCCTTCCCCTTCTTCACCCTTCCTCTTTCTCCTTTCCCCTTCCTCTACCTCTTTCTCTCCTCTTCCCATGCCTTCCTCTCCCCTGCAGGTAAGGGGCCAGGGGCAGACTCTGGAGGAGCAGCTTCCTGGCTGCTGCCAAGCACAGTTGGAGAAGGAAGAGTGATGCTAGGTGGTGGCACATCTGGAGACACAGCTGGCAGCCAGGAGAGGTGGGAGCAGCTGGAGGTTCTGCCAGAACTCTGGGCAGGAGGGAGCAGAGCTGGCATGGGGAGGGAATGATGCAGATCAGGTGGTGGGGGACAGCAGTAACTTCATCCCTCATGGATGGGTGGGTGAGCCCTGGCTGGAGCCATGCCACATGGAGTGAGCTACAGAGCAGGCATGGCACACAGCTGAATGGTCAGGACAGTGCCAGGACCCTCAACCCTGCCATCAGCCCAAATTGAGCACAACTCCATGGGAGGCAAGACAGTGGGGAAAAAATTCCTAGCGAGAAGGTCGGTGAGGCCATGGAATACACGGCTGGAGCGTGCGGTGCCCTGCCTGGACGAGTCACCAGAGGCTGGCTGCAAGTGCCCTGGTACTGGCAGAGAGTCCGGGCTGAATGAGCTAATTGCTCCTTTTCCATCTCGGCATTTTATGGTTCTGTGAATTTTTTCTGTTAGAAACGGGACAGAGAAAACAACCCAAAAATAAGAGCAAGGGCAAGCAAGAGAGAGGAGAAAACCCAGGGGCATGAGAGCACTAGGCATTGCAGGGGTGGGCGAGGGGCTGCAATGAGCCTCCAGTGTCCCTCACCCAGCTCACCTCTCTGCAGAACACTGCTGCACCCTGGACCCTGCAAGATGCCATTGTCACCTAGCAGAAAGACACTGGGGGGCTGAGCTGGTGGGCTGAGGAACTGACAGAGGACAGGGACACTGGGATGCAGAGGGTAGGTGATGCTCTGCCCCTGCTCACCGGCTCCACACCAATGTCAGCACTTCTACACCCCACAAGCCCCTGAGAGTGGCATGGCCCCCAGCAAAATGGCTGGGATGGGGAGGGGGGACAAAGGCAGGGAAGGTAGAGAGGAAGAGAGAGTAATTTAACATGACAGGCTGTTTATTTTGGCAAAAAGGGTCTCTTTTCAACAGATTTCAAAGCTTGGCCCCGGGGCTGGGGGGAACCACACAGAGGGGTGGGAGGTGAGGGGTGCGAGGCGGGGGGGAGTTCAACGGGGCACCCAGACTGAGAGAAATGGAGAAGAATCCCACATCTGTTTGTCCCTGGGGCACTGCTCCAGTTGTGCTTGCGTGCTCCTGTGGGGTGTCCCCCCGCAGGGTGCCCCCCTGGGCGTCCGCGCACTCCTGCACACACGTGCTTGCCTGCATGCACCAGCACACGTTCGCACGCTCCCCCTGCCCCTGCTCCTTCCTTCAGGCCAGGGCTCAGCTGGAGTCTTGGCTTCCCCCAGTGACATTTCAAAAGAGGCTGTTTATTAAAAAAAAAAAAAAAAAAAAAAAAAGGAGGAAAAAATTGCTAGGAAAGAAATAATTATTATAATCACATTAAGAGCTTTGGCTGTAAAAACCCTGCGAGGGCGCAGGGAAGGAGCCGGGGCTGCTCTCGGCAGGGAGTGCAGGGGGCGGTTTTCCTGCCTTGTGCGCTTTTATTTTCCAGTCCAGGTCCAACAACTTCTCCCCTCCTCCCCTTTTCCTCTTCTTTATCCTGGGAAATGAAAACAATTTATTTAATGATGGATCGTTCCTTTCTCTGGTCACTGACCTTCTGCGTGAATTTCTGCTGAGCTCGGCGGAAAACACGAGGCTGGGTTGTGGATCACATCTGTGGGTGGGGGAGGGGGGGAGCTCACCCTCATCCTTCCCAAAATCCACAGCAACTGTTCTGGGGAGCGGGACGGGGCTGGCCCAGAAGGGTCAGTGGAAGCGTTCCCACCACAGTGGGAAGCGTTGCTGCAGGCACTGTCCCTGGAGACTGGGGGCTTTGGGGGCAGATATGGGGGCTGGTGCAGCCCTCGGGGCCCTTCCACCCCATCCCCTTCTCTCCTGGAGCACCCTCAGTGGTTCCCAGCATCCACTGCCCTCTCCCTCACCTAGGCTGGGGTGCAAGGGCTGGGCTGGGGTGCAGTACCGAAGTGGGAGTGAGGAACAAAGGAGTTGTCCATCCTACCAATAGTCTTTGCTGCCCAGTGAGGCTTTCCTTGCTCAAGGTGTCTGCCGAAAGTGGTTTTTGGACCTGATCAGAGATGAGACCAGGGAGGCATGTGGGGCTGCATGGGTCTCCCAGCACTGGCCAGCAATGTATCCCCTGTAACAGGCAGTCTGGCTTCTGGCCAGCCCACTGCTTGACTGGGTTCTGCTCCCTGGGGAGGGGAATGCTGGAGCAGTGAGGGAAAGGGGCAGGATCACAGCAACCTTTGGTTGAGGGGGCTGTCAACACCTAGCATGCATTGCCCCAGGGCCCCAGGCGTGG